GACACAGGAGGCTGCCGCTCAGAAGAAAGGCCAGGCGTTCTCAGCTCAAACTGGGCCAATCCATGGATGCAGAGATCACTAAAGAGGAAGAGGGAGTAACCCTGGGTGCTCAGAACAGACCCAGTTTCTCCAGCAGGTATGGTTGGCTTGATATTTCCCCCATTCAACAGCAGAGAATGCTCAAACCATCTGCAATTACAGTACACAGAAGATGAAATAAAAGAGCTTGTTCATGGCCTACAGAGAAACAAGCAACAGAGCCAGCAAAGAAAAAGCTTTTACGATGGACGAAGCTGGTGGGTATGTTCTCTGCTTTTTAACCGACCAAGGCTTCACCTTCCTGCAGCAGATGAAAAGCTGATTTCCTCATGTGGAAAGGGGTGTCCATGTGGTACCCTGTCTCCAGCCCGATCCAGACTTCTGTTTAACATCAGCCGGTAACCGGTAATTATTTCAGCACATTTCTGTTAAATTTCTACACAGAGATGCTGCAACCCAGGTGGGGAGTCAGAGAGAGGGGAAAAGGGGGTGAGGTGGGGGGAAGGAGCAAATGGAATAAACAGCTCCTAGCAGAGAGGAGAGGAGAGGGTCAGGAGGGGAAGCTGTGCTTGGACCTGCAAGTCCCAAAGCCCAGCCACACGGCAGGAGCAGAGCTGGAGCTGGTGCCTCCGGGAAGAGGAAAGAGAAGAAATCAGGGGAACAGACAGCAACTTGAAGGTTGGACAGCAAGGATGGCGGGGCGTCCAAAGGCAGCTGGGCCAGCGGAAACGCACGAGCGGGTCCTTTTTTTGTCAGGAAATGAGACTTCCTGTCCATGCCAGCCCTTCCTAGAGAGTAAACAGGTTTCTCCTACTGTGAGCATAAACATTTCTCCCTAAATACGGAGACAAACCGGGGAAGGGTGATGACCAAGAAATAAAACCAACTTGGGAAAAGTGAGGGCAGCAGCTACAGCCCTCTGAAAGGAGCCTGCCCTTTTGGGGATCCAGAGCAGATTAGGGGAGGGTGCTAAGAAATGTTAAGATGCCAATATGGTGTTAAGACAAAAATATTCAAGCCCTGGGAGTGGAAGAAATCTGGATTCAGAGGGAAAGGGGGAAGAGGCACTATGTTTATTTTTATTGTTCTAGGGTCAGGTTTCAAGATACCGTGTGGGCTACAGCCTGGGTGAAAAACAGTATGGCAGTTTCTTAAAAAACTAAAAATAGAGTTAGCATATGATCCTGCAATCCTACTCCTGGGCAAATATCCAGACAAAGCTGTCCTTCAAAAAGATACGTCCACCTCCTATATCCATAGCAGCTCTATTTACAACAGCCAAGACATGGAAGCGACGGCAGTGTCCACTGACAGATAAACGGGTAAGCACGCACAGACACACACAGACCAGGGACCACTACTCAGTCCTGGAAAAGGATAAAATAGCGCCATTTGCGGCAACACGGTTGGACCTATAGATTATCACAGTACGTAAGTCAGACAAAGACAAATAACATGATACTACTTATATGCGGAGTCTAAAAAAAGCTACAAATGAACTTGCTTAAGTAACAGAAAGACACCTACTGACATCGAAAATAAATTTATGGTTACCAAAGGGGATAGGGGGAGAGGTATAAATTAGGAATTTGGGATTAATCAGTATACACCACTATAAATAAAATGCCAAAAAGGACCTATTATATAGCACAGGCAATGCTACTCAATACTTCGTGAAAACCTGTAAGGGAAAAGAATCTGAAGAAGAATTATACATGCATTTCAACCACTGTGCTGTGCTCCTGGAACTAACACAACATTATAAATTAATTATACTTCATTTTAAAAAAAGGTGCATGTGTGGAGTCTGTACCCAGCGATCATGTAAAGGGTCACGCATGCATTTACCACCAAGAGCAATGTAGATTATTCCGTCCCAAAGACAGTGTCTAGAATGGTCAGAGTCACTGGACAGAGCCGTTTTTCCAATTATGTTGTAATCCTCGAGTCTTAAGATGGTTGAACAAAAATCTCAACACATACACAGACTTGGAAGTCAAAAATACACACACACGGACACATACATACATACGTATGCACACATGAACACACACAGACACACCTGCCTGTGTCTAATAAAAGGATTACCTGGACTCTCTTGCAGGTGATAAGAGGGACATTTCACTAGATGATTAGATCACACCTTTCTGCCTGACACCGAGGAAGGAGTCCCAGATGATCGACAGTCCCATAATTCTTTATACCAAAGCATGACTTAGATTCTCAAAGCACAGAAAAAGAGCATTTTAAGCTTTTATCAAAACTTGCGGCTAAAGTTTCCAGAGGTGACTATTTGAGGGGATGACTTTTTTCAGTAAGGGATATTTCCTTTTAAAAAATTTCTAAATTATAAAAGCCATAATCACTGTCAAATTAAAAATACTGAAAAGAACAGTCTTTGGACTCTGTGGGAGAAGGCGAGGGTGAGATGATTTGAGAGGGTTGAAACATGTATATTATCACATACGAAGTGGATCGCTGGTCCAGGTCTGATGCATGAGACAGGGTGCTCAGGGCTGGTGCACTGGGATGACCCTGGGGGATGGGATGGGGAGGCAGGTGGGAGGGGGGATCTGGATGGGGAACACATGTGCGCCCATGGCTGATTCATGTTGATGCTTGGCAAAAACCACTACAGTATTGTAAAGTAATTAGCCTCCAATTAAAATAAATAAATTAATTTTTAAAAAAAAGAGAAAGTAGAAATCATTGACAATCTGTCACTCACAAAAATCTTCACAGTGGTTTTCTCAGGGAAGTGTAGCCCATTTCTAGTGAAATAACACACGATTGTTTCCCTTCCATCTCCATTTTGGACATAGCTTATAACTAGTCAGGATCACCTTCTGCCGCACCAGTGGCACGTAAAAGCAGGGCTCACTAACACACTGTCGTTTGGGAGGAGGTATTGCCATGGGTGGCCACCTTTGCATTTTGCTTCATAATTTGGGCAGCTTTCCATCTTTCCTCCTCCCCTTGCTTTTCTCGTGAGCTCTGAGCATTACCAAGCAGGTAAGACTAGACAGTAGAAACTGATTTAAAACTCAGACTGAACTTCGCGGTGTCAATGGAAGCAGGAGAGAAGAATCTTGGTAAAGGCTCCTGCAGAGTAAAGAGCCCGCTCAGAGCCAGCTGTCATCCCAGAGTGTGTGTGTGTGTGTGGGGGGGATATGTGTGGTATGTGTGGCCTGTGTGTGGGTGGTGTGCATGTAATATGTGTGGTGTGTGCGTGTGTGGTGAGGGGAGGGAGCTTCCAGGTCAGACTGTTACCCCACTACCTGCTCTTTCAAAGAAATTGCTTGACCTCCTTATCTTCAACAACTATCCACAGAGTACCTACTATGTACCAGGTACTGATGTAGATAGAGCATCTAGGATGCAGCAGTGAAAACAGCAAAATTCCTAGTCTCATGTCAAGGACAGTTCACTCCAGCCCCTCCTACAACCAAGGGCCATCACTTCCACTCCAACTCCCTCCCAGCCAATGATATCACCTCCCTTTCTATAACCAATGACATTACCTCCACTCCTACAACCAATGACATCACCTCCACTCCTATAACCAATGACATCACCTCCACTCCTGCCCTTCCTACAACCAATGACCATCATGTCCACTCCTATAACCAATGACATCGCCTCCACTCCTACAGCCAATGACCACTACCTCCATATAACCCACCATTCCTATAACCCATGAGCATCACCTCCACTCCAGCCCTTCCTACACCCAATGACATCACCTCCACTCCAGTCCCCACTCCTACACAACATCCCATACCTGAAACGTCCCCATACCCAGAACTTCCTCTCCTCTGATTAAATTAAAACCTCCCACTCTCTGACAATATCCAACAACTCTTTCAAGTCACAGAACGTTGCTCTCTCCACATCTTGAACATTATCACTGATGACCTCAAGTTCCCACCATCTCTGGTAGACTCAGTTGGTTGCCTACTCAATATCCATTCTTATATTTTTTCTTACTTAGAGAATCTTCATTTTGTTCAAGGTGATAACAGACCTAGCGAAAAACCGCGTCTTGCTCTGGTAGGCTACTGCTCTGGCCAGTGAACGATAAGCAGAAGTCCTTTGGAAGAACTTCTGGGAGGGTCTCAAGAGGAGATGTTCACCTGGTATTCAGTATGAATGTGGACGTGATGGCTGGAATCCTGGCAACTATTCTATAAGCATCATAATGAGGGTCACACCTGAAGGACTGTGGAACAGAAAGACAGACACTTGAGCTTCTGAGGACACTGTGGGCTTCCCGTACCTGCCCCAGACTGCCCACTCCTGGGTTTCCTTTACAACAAAAATAAACTCTTCCATTCTCAAGCCACTGCTTTTTGGATGGGTTGTTATTCAAAAATAAACACAAGTCATAATTGATTGGATCCCACCTACCAAGGTATGAGTCTGGATTGGCCCAGTTAGTGGTAGCATGTGTCAGGATCACAGGGAGACCTTGTTGAAATCCATTATATGGGGCAGCCCAGCTCCAGTGCTTCCAACTCAGTAGATACAAAGAGGAGCCCGGAAGCGTACATTTCTGACTTCCAGGTGGTGGTACTGAGGCTTCTATTCCAGGAACCACACTTTGAGAACTACTAAGCCAGGTGACGATAAAAAACAAAGAACAAAAGCAAAATTTTGCGACTCAACACCTGGCTACTAAAACTGTGAGCTAGGAAGGCCACACTGACCACACCTGGAACCTTACACAGAGGCAGAGCCTCAGCCCTCGCCTCTGACCCACTGAGTCGAACCGGCCCTGGAAGCCCCTCCCAGGTGGGCGCGGCAGAAGGCGCACACCCAGGGCCGGCCCACGGCGCTGCACTCGTCAAAGAGGCTCCTGGAGGCTCCTCCGTGGTCTCTGCTTCCAGGACCCTGGAGGTTAGCAGCAAGGGCAGAGGCTGGACCGGCCCATCAGGGCTTCCACTCCCAAGCCTTCTAATGGCTCAGCTGCAGCGACCACAGCAGACTGTCAGAGTGGAGGGAGGCATAGTCCTGCCCAGCGCCTATAAGGGGAGCAAGAGTGTGGGACAACAGCCGTAGAGACTCCCAGAGCAGCCTTCCGGCTCCCGCCTCTCCCATCCCTCCAGCTGCTCTCAGACCGGGGACTGAGGACAGTCACAAAGGCACAGGCACAAAGGGAGAGAGAAATTAGGAGCTTGGGGTGAGCGGATACACACTGCCGAATACCTACTGTATAACACAGGGCACTATACTCAGTATCTTATAAAACGGCTTCCCCAATGCCTCAGTGGGTGAAGAATCCACCTGCAGTACAGGAGATACAGGTTCAGTCCCCAGGTGGGGAAGATCCCCTGGAGGAGGGCATGGTAACGCACTCCAGTATTCTTGCCTGGAGAATCCCCAGGGACTGATGAGCCTGGTGGGCTACAGTCCATAGGGTCACAGAGTCAGACATGACTGAAGCGACTTAGCACCCGTGCATGCATACATAACTGAAGAGTGTATGTATGTGTGTGTGTGTGTGTGTGTGTGTGTATTATATATATATATATACATGCATATATATATAAAACTGAATCACTTTACTGTATATGTGAATCTACCACAACATTGAAAATTAATTCAATTTTAAAAAGGTACAAGTACAAATGTAACCACTAGAACAATTACCCAAACCTTCTTATTAATAAAAACTAGGAGAAAATTATAAACAAAAAGTAATGAATACATATCTTAGAGATGAACAAATAACCAAAAAAATTACAAATTTATGACAAAGTTGGCACCAAACATCAGTCATTCCAAGAAAACAAATGGACTTAACTCATTTATTAAAAGAAAAAGCCCACACACCTTGCAAGACAGGGAACATTGGTGATGCCCAGAAGAATCTCAGATGGATTTACTCCTGAGCCCAGAAATACCCCCACCAAGAACCCACTCTAGTGGACTCACGAGATGGTCCAGAGACCCAGCCTGCATCATTAGATGGTTTGCTCTGGTCCTCTGTCGGCAAGCAAGCCAAGGGCAAAAGGCGCACATCTAAGGACTCAGACCCCGGGGAGTCACGGCCCCATCACAGAACCAACAGGTGTCACTTGGACAGACCAGGTGAGGATCTGCCCAACACCTAACTCTGACTCTGGCACTGACCTGAGGGGTTGCCGCCTCTTCTGAGAAGTCCAGTGACCCAACAGTGGATGAGCCCGATGGGTGGGAGCTGACTGAGAGAGCCGAGCAGGGTCTTCTAGTTAAAGAACACATCAGAGTGACATAGAAAAGGCCATTCAGAAAGCTAAGGGCAGCAAAACACAAAATGTGCTAGTGTCTGTGATGATACCAGGCAGTTCAGGGAGGCCTCCAGCCAAAGCAGCCAGTAGGGGCTCATCCAGAGAAGATGAAGGCCAGGTGAAGGCCTTCGTCCCTCTGACTGGTCTGTTGTAAGTCCCTGAGTGGTCCACGCACAGGCACATCTTGATGAACCCACATTTGGAAACACCCTCCCCAGTGGGGGCTTCCACGCTTGGAGGCTGGACGTGGGCACATCACCACGTGGACTCCAGCCCCAGCATGAGTGTCACTCTTGTCTGGACGGCTTGTTCTCTGGCAAATACTGGAACATATCCTGCGGTTCCCCTGCCTTATAAAAATGAGTAGAAAATGGGCATATGTATCTGCATGGGACTCATGTAATATAATTAAGATGAAGATGGAAATCATCAGGTGTTAGAAGCAGCAAGTCTTTAACCTTAACGCAGTGGTCTCTGGACGTAGGCCAGAAACTGGTTGATTCCGTGCTGAGTGGTAAAGGAAATGAGCAAAATTAAAGAGCCAATTTGAAGTGCTTAAAATGATCAAAGACTGGGCCTAAAGAGTGAGTTATAAAATTAGGGATTTTATAATACTCTTGAGGGCTCTGATCTCAGAATTCCCTTTCCCAATGTGTCCTCCTGTACACAGTTTCCACGTGTGGTTTCAGGACTCTGGCGGTAAGGAAGGAATCCCCTATTTTGGTGCTTTGTGGGGTTGGGGCCAGGAAGGAGACAGGCTTGTCCGACACACAATGCCTCCACTTCCTGCCTTCCCAGGTCAGGCAGATTCCTCCTACCAACCCCAGCCAGACCCTCGATTCCATCCCAGGACCTGGAAACCCCATTTGGAGAAGATATAAATACTTCTGAGGGTTCCATGTCAGAACAGGAAGTGAATTCCAAGGCTGTGGGATTCCCATGGAAAAGGCTCTGGGTTCTCCTTCTCAGAGCTATGGGAACCCGCTGGAAGCATTTTCTTGTCTGGCTGATGGCATTTTTCTGGTTTTCTCAGATGCTTTTTACAAACCTCAATCATGTCAACCCAAACTCAGCTGGAAACATGTGGCCCTGAGTGCCTTTTTTTCTAAGAATGCTGCACCCTTTGAAGAACTATTTTTGAAAATCATGATTGGAGAGACTCCCCAAGGCCTCTGCAGAAAAGCACAGGCCACGTGAAAACAGTAACGAAGAATAAATCAAGCAGTTGAAAGAGGCTGAACCAGGGCCGGCCAGGCCACAGTCGGCACACAGGGGCTGAGGCTCTGATGCTGGCCTCCATCTCCTAAGACCACGAGGCTCATATATTTCAGGTCCTTTCATCCCCTACACCGCCTCCCCAAATGACCATCATCTCCCAATGAGATAAACAGGTGGTGTCGCAATTGAACACTCACTTTCCAATCCCTTTCGTTTCACGAGGACGTCCTCACATTTACTTCTTGTCATAAGGAACAAAACATATTTTGTTTATGGGCTTGCCTTGAGAGACCACTTAGGTTTGGAAAAAATGGAAAGATGCCTAACTGTTTCTCAAATGCTACAGTGAGTATCTGGGTCTAGTAGAAGCACTTCCCTTATATCCTAAAGAGAGGAGGGGTTGCTGTGTAAAAATAAACTTATCGTCTTGTTGAAAAATCATCATATTGGAGTAAAGCAGAGAGTGCAAAATCACAAAAAAATGACAAATCCTTCTGAACTAATATATCTCTGGGGAGAAGATATCTCTGGGGAGAACAGAGAGGCCTCGTGTATTTTTACTCCTTCTACCTGTCTCACATTGGCTGGAGAGGAAATCACTTTCCTGTGACATTTTTGAATGCTCAGTTAATACAGCTGAGTGTCTTTTCATATAAACTAGCACCTCTGGCAGTGAGCTACACAGAATGATCGGAGGATGTGCACTTTTTTCCCATATCAACCCTTCTTACCTTTTCTTGGGGGTCATACCATCTGTTTTATTCTTGGTTTCAAAGTAGGAAGAAAAATAAACAGTGGACTGGCTTTTATGGGGCTTTTATATCTCTAAACACCCCAACTAAGTTTTCCAAAAACTTCTCTTAGGAAGGTAGGTTGCATGTTGCACGCCCTCTGGTTCTATCCAGTTCTTGCTGTTCCGTGAGGCTACCCTGGGGGCTCAGTGGTAAAGAATCCACCTGCAAAGTAGAAGGCCTGGGTTCGATCCCTGGGTTGGGAAGATCCCTGGAGAAGGAAATGGCAACCCACTCCAGTATTCTCGCCCGGAGAATTCCATGGACAGAGGAGCCTGGTGGGCTGAGTCCTCTGAGCCTCTCTGCTTTTCCTGATACCTTTCAAAGGACTCTTGGGGGCCAAGCTGTAGGGTAAATACAGCACTCTTCCAAAAGTGACTTTGCAGGCAGTTGGTCTTTAGGCTGCATTGGTGCTTGTTGATTTAAGAAAATGTTTTTAAAATGGTTGGTGTTAACATGGTATGTGTTAGCTTTAGGGGAAGAGCGGTGAGTGGTACAAGAAAACTGTCCTATTTTGGCACTATGTCCATAAGTCTAAAATCAGTGCAAATGTAAACATTGTGAAAAAATAGTAGTTTGTGATAGGTTAAAAAATTTTTCAGAGTAACAATTTTCAGATAGTCACTCTTCAAAACTTTGTATTATGACTACTGCTGCTGCTAAGTATTATGACTGTCTAGGCTGATTCACCAAAATGGCATGAACACATTTGTAATATCCTGTGCAATACATACTAAAGCATCTTGATGCATCTCAATATTGTTTACAGTTTCCATCAATTTGCCAGTGAGCAGAGATTGGTCATCAGCTACTTGGAATCTCACCAAGGTCAGGTCACTGACGGGTATCTGCATGACCCCTCAGAAAGGGGGGACACTAATCCACCCAGGATGCCAAGTTTGCATCCCAATATCACCTCAGAAAGATGGAAGACACTTGGAATGCACGTGGTGAGAAGAATTAGCACACACGCCTAGAAATCTGGGGTCTACTCCCTCCTGGTTCTGCCTTCCTTTAACCAATGATGGTGCACAGGTCAGCCTGCCTGTTGGGCCTCAAGTTACTCATCTATACGATGGGATAATAACCATCCTGCTCTGTGAGAAGGACATAGGACATTATGAAAACTCAGAAAGAATAATGCACTGGGCAAAGTGGGCCATCATCACAGTTTACCCAGCCCTAAAGTGTCCCATATCTAAGAAGCTCAGCCGTGTGCTCAGCCATGTCTGACTCTCTGTGACCGTGTAGACTATAGCCAACCAGTCTCCTCTGCCCATGGAATTTTCCAGGCAAGAATGTTAGAGTGGGTTCAGTTCAGTCACTCAGTCGTGTCCATTGGCAAAATAATATCTCTGCTTTTTAATATGCAATCTAGGTTTGTCATAACCATTTCCTATTCCAGGGGATCTTCCTGACCCAGAGACTGAACCCATGCCTCCTGAGACTCCTGCATTGGTAAGCAGATTCTTTACCACTAGTGCCACTCAGGAAGTCCATATCTAAAGCACAGCCCTAAAAATATAAGCCTTTAAGGGATATAAAAAACTTTGTCCTTTCAAACTTAGGAAAAAATATACACGCAAAGAGGCATAGAGAGGCAGGAAGACAGTTTGTTCAGTCTTTGACTCATGACCACCCAGTATGCCCTAAGTCTATTTCCTGTCCATTTTGCTAAGTTACTGGCTGAAGGTCAGGGAAGGTCCATGTGGGTTAGGTTTGGGGGGGGGGGGCATCTCTCAGTGGGATGAGAACTGTCCTTTGAGTGGGACAAGCCCAGCCATCCTTCTGGCCCTGCAGGAGCTCTTGGTGAGGGGCTCCGGCCCCCAGCCTCAGTGGCCCTGGTCTGTCCCTTGACTGTGCCAGGCCCCCTGCTTGTGCCGCAGAGGAAAAGCAGGAGCTTTTGTGCTGGGAGAAAAAGGATATGGAGCGACCGCAGGGAGATAGATCAGAAGCCCTCTGCTAGAGGGAACTGCAGACGCAAAACTGAGCTTGAAGGAGGAACACAGACCCCGCCTCATCTGCATCTGTCCTTTAACCCTTCTCACCTCCAAAGAGGCCCTGATCACTTCAGTCAGGGGGAAAGGGATGCGGATAGCTGCACGGGGTGGGGGAGGGGAGAGGAGCACACAGTGAGATTCAGGCCCAACCTCCGCCCAGCTCCAGGCCTCTGGGAGCAGCCAACACAGAAACAGGGTTTCTTGGAAAGTCCAGTCTCAAGTTCTAGGGTCACACAGGATCCTCCAGACCCGGGGGAGACACTGAAGTGAGAAGGGGTCAATCAACAATGCGCGGGTTTCCCAACAAGCAGGGCAGACCCCACCCTGCCTGGAGCTTGAGGGCATCAGGGGGGCCAGAGGAGACCCCTCTGGGTGCTGAGCTCCCAGAAGACCCTGACGGCTCACCCCAACGCATCCTGAGCAGGGTCTGACTTGGGTAGACCCACCCCCAGGGACATGGCTGATGCAGGCATTGCAGACGGTCCTGACCATGACCACTGGCCTGTGTTATTCACGCACTCAGGGATGGTTCCTTTCCTTCACCAAGAGGCCTTTCTCCCATTAAGGCTAATGGGAGTCATGTGGCTGAAATGCAAGCATTTCATTTTCCAGATTTTCTAAAAATAAAATGTGGTGACGGAAAACATATGTATTGTTTCTATTTGGGATTGTGAAAACACAAACAAAAGGAACCAGAGAGAGTCACAGCCCGATCCTTGTCGATTATAATAGCAGATAAAGTTATTTGTCATCACATAGGTGTAGGCGTGGGGTGATCTGAAACCAGGCTCAGTTTGTTATACGAGCACGGTGTAAGTGATGCTTTTGCTTTTTATCCCTTGAAAAACGCATCCCATCTTTTCTTTGATGACCAGGATACACAAAAGGTTTTTTTTTTTTTTTTTTTTTTTAGTTACTAGACCAAGAAATGGTCATATGTTATGGTTC